CTCTTTATTTACCTTTTAATGTTCATTCTTTGAAGAAACAACGCCATTTTCTTCTTTTTTGGATTTTCTAAGACTGACACAAATACTTATACTTTTTAATGTAATTTTTTGAACCCCTATATTTTTATTACCATGGGTCTTTACGAACTGGTTGAAATGCAGTTTAATGGTAAAGGTGCCTAAAACCAAGTGAGATGCCCCTAAAAAGGTAGATTTCAGTGCCAAGCGTCAAGCAGAGACTCAAAAAAGTGATCCACCACAACCATTAGGAAAACATTAAAGGGTTAAAATGTAAAATGTTTTCTAATAATATCAACAATTTGTTAATTTTACAAGATTGTCTAAAAAGTTAGGTGTCCCAGCTTTAAATCAATCCAATAATGTGAAATAAGCAACACAACATCATGTTTAATTATAATTGTCAAAAGCATAAGGCTCCTGTTTGTTTGAAATAGGATCAACTTCACGTGAAACGTTCTGAAAGCAGCTTCAATGTGTGGATTTTTATCCTCGTCCAACATTTATGGCCGTGTTAAAGATGAAAGGTGCAGCAGTGTTTGTTTGAAGGCCACAATTATACATTAAAGACAGCTTATATTGTGCCTCAGAGCTGTATTCACTTCACTCATAAATCCTTCGGTCTCATATAATTGGCCACGAATTGTAGAGTGCACCAAGAAAATTGTTTAATAAGAACAAATTATATGGCAACCCCACAGGAATTACTATTACACTTCTGGAATTTACTACTGTTAAAGTTTTCTTAATTGTATGTACATTTGGGCCTCCACCAATGAATGTCTTCCCTATCTGCAACAATTGCTTTGTTTCCACATGTTTTATTATTGCTGGATTTCCCCTTTGCCTTCCAGATGTGGATAATGTTGATGACAGAAATGCAAATGAGCTGAGTTCTGTACTTGAATCCTTTGATCTCACTCAGCACGTAAGTGGCCCCACCCACAGCAGAGGGCACACTCTAGATCTGTTAGTTACAAAGGGGGTGATTATTTCAAATGTAAACGTGGTCGATGTTGCTCTTTCGGATCATTTCTGTGTTTTTTTTGACATGTGTTTCACTAACAAACCACCAGTGGACTCTGCAACTGTTCGAAGAAGGCGCATAAATGAAAATACGAGTGAACTATTTATGGAAATGATAAACTTTGAGAATGCATCGTATTCTACTGTAGATGAACTGTTTAACTCTGTCACCTCTAGTGTTTTGAATGTTCTGGATACCGTTGCCCCTGTGAAGGTTAAAATAGTGAAAAATAAGCAGAAGGCGCCGTGGGCTAAAGCAGACTCGGTCAGGGCACAAAAGAGAAAGTGCCGGAGGGCCGAGCGGAAGTGGCGCAAGTCCAACCTCCAGGTAGATTGCGAGATCTTCAAAGATAAGTTGTGCGAGTTTAACCGGGTGCTACGTAGTACGAGAGAAAGGTATTTTTCTGAAATGATTGAAGGCTGCAGCAACAATCTGCGTGTTCTGTTCTCAACAGTTAATAGATTAACAAACCCCCCTGTTCAAATGCCATTAGAGCTTACTTCCAAACGTAAATGCAATGAGTTTGCTAATTTTTTCAATGACAAGGTTCAAGGCATCAAAAGCGCCATTGTCTCCAATCCACAGATAACCATCCAACAGCCAGAAAGGCTCTCTGAGCTAACTCACTTTGCACCTGTAAATGATAAAACTGTCCAAGAGATAATCTCCAGTTTGAGCTCCTCCACATGCAGCCTGGATGTACTACCCACTAGATTTCTGAAGTCTGTTCTGAGCAGTCTGTTACCTTCACTCACACAGATAGTAAACATGTCCCTTCATTCTGGAATATTCCCAAAGGCCCTGAAAACTGCAGTCATCAGGCCCCTGCTAAAAAAGAGCAGTCTGGATGCCACTGTACTTAACAACTATCGTCCCGTCTCAAATCTGCCATTTATGGGGAAAGTCCTTGAGAAAGTTGTCTACCTACAGCTTACTAGATTTCTTATAATCAACAACTCATTTGATATGTTTCAGTCCGGCTTTAGACCCCACCACAGCACTGAGACTGCTCTCGTTAAGGTTACAAACGATATCCGGCTGAACACTGACGCAGGCAAAGTCTCAATCTTAATCTTGTTAGATCTAAGTGCTGCCTTTGACACCGTCGACCATGAGATCCTCTTACAGAGACTAGAGGACTGGGTTGGCGTCACTGGCACCGCCCTAAGTTGGTTTAGGTCTTACCTTGAAGACAGGAAGTACTTTGTGGAGATTGGAAACTGTGTCTCAGATCATATGGCCCTGACCTGTGGAGTCCCACAGGGGTCGATCCTGGGACCTCTTCTGTTCAATCTCTACATGCTGCCGTTAGGTCAGTTAATACGCAGAAACAAAGTTTCCTATCATAACTATGCAGACGACACTCAGATCTATGTCTCACTGACTGCAGGAGAACATGGACCAGTGGACTCACTCCTTCACTGTATCCAACAGATCAGTGAGTGGATGCAAAACAACTTCCTTCAGCTAAACGCAGACAAAACTGAAATGATTGTCTTTGGTCCCCAGAAACAAAGAGAGAGCGTCATCTGTCACCTACAGTCTCTCTCCCTAAAACCTTCAAACAAGGTCAGAAATCTAGGGGTAATACTGGACTCAGACTTAAATTTTAATAGCCACATCAAATCAGTAACATCAGCAGCTTTTTACCATCTAAAAAACATTGCCAGGATCAAAAACATAGTGTCTAAAGCAGACTTGGAGATTCTTATCCATGCATTTGTCTCCAGTAGGTTAGACTACTGCAATGGCCTGCTCACAGGTCTGTCCAAACAGGCTGTAAAACAGCTGCAGTACATTCAAAATGCAGCAGCTCGAGTCCTGACAAGAACCAGGAAGTACGACCACATTAGTCCAGTCCTCAGGTCTCTGCACTGGCTTCCTGTGGCTCAGAGAATAGACTTTAAAACAGCTCTGCTTGTGTACAAGTCTCTCCATAGCCTCGCACCAAAATATATTAGTGACATGTTAGTCCCATATGAACCAGCCCGGACTCTGAGGAGCACAGGGACTGGACTCCTGTTAGTGCCCAGAGTCAGAACTAAACATGGGGAGGCTGCTTTTCAGATTAATGCTGCTAAAATCTGGAACAGTCTTCCTGAAGATGTGAGACAGGCCTCCTCTCTGACAATGTTTAAAACCAGGTTAAAGACGGTTCTGTTTAACTGTGCATACAACTGAGGGATTTTATATTTTTATCTTTCTTTTTAATGTTCTGTGATAATTTATGATTTTAATGCTTTCTTGTTTTGTTCAGCACTTTGAATTGCCTTGTGTATGAATTGTGCTATATAAATAAACTTGCCTTGCCTTGCCTTGCCAGATTTACAAAAGATTACCAGTTAATTTCACGTCAAACAAATTTCCGAATCTTTCACAATACAAACCTGTCATTTCATGGTTGTCTATAAATGGCCTGTGATGACAAGTCAAGCCATCAATACAGCAGCAGTAGATATTCATGTAGTACAGAAGCAGCCACATTGTACTGTATACATGCTTAGTCACATATGCAGGTAATGTCTTACTCATGCTGAGGGTGTGACCAAAAAGTCTAGAGCGCATCCAGTTCTAAAATTGCAAAAATAAACAATGTCTTTCACAACTTCTTGAGCTCATCCCAAACCATGATACAACTTTTCCTGTCTGTGAACTCTGTTTTACCCTCCCATTCATTCTTTTTCAAATTTAAAACCCTCTCAGGGGCTAAAGTTGGACTCGTCTGGAAAAGGGCAGTAAAAATAGCGGCAACTCAGGTTACCTATAGGCCAGGAGCTGGTTTAAATACCAAAAGACACACCAACACAAGCAACACGTCACAGTACTGATTTATCGTGGACTATATTGAAATATAATGATTGATGCGGTATATTTTTGGAAACAGATAGAAACTGTCTTTGTTCAGAGAGTCTGTATTCCCATTTGTCATTGAGGAGAGTTATCACATTCAGCGAACACTCATTGTCCCATGGGTAAACTCAACACTGCACAAAATATGTGTTAAATGTGAATGACTGTGAATAAGGAGAATCAAAAAACACAACAGCCGCCCAATGCATGAATACTCATCGCTTCCTTATGTACAGTAACATGAATACATTCAGTCTTGGGCTCTGAACGCCTGCGGAGATGGACTGGGTTAAAAAAATAAAAAATTACTTTATCCTGTTTCCTTCAACATCTACAGTGCACATGCCTGAGCACCACAAAAACAGCAAGTTAACTCATTATCCCGGAGACCCCGGGTGGTTCTTCCATCGATCCCTGGCCAAAAGACTCAGACTGTGCGTTTTAAGCAATAGACCTTCTGGCTCTTTCACTCCATTTCCATTAAGTAGGCAAAATGTGTTGTGCTGATATGCATTTAGTGCAAGGCAGAACAGTAAAGACACCAAATCGAGAAAATCAAAGAACAATAGCAGCCAATAAAGAGTACATAGAATTTAGCCAAAATACTGAGATATTGTACAGAAGTCAGTTATCATTTGGCCTTTTGCAAAATATTCATTAACGATTCTTTAGTTGAATCCACTGTTTTTCCGCTGCAACCATGACAACATTTTAGCCTTCTCAACATGCAATTTGCAATAAATGAATAGTTTATATGCAAAAACAGATGAGGGCCATGGTATCATATCGGAAAAGCTCACAATTTTCTCTTTATCAACTAGTTTTGTGAAAATCCAGATCTATTTTAGTGCCATACAAATAAAGTTCCACCCCTTCTTGCGCAAATTTCTTCAAGTGTAGTGCCAGTAACAGAACATGTTGAAGATTGTAAATAGGAATACAATATTTGGACAACATTTAAAAACAGAGATATTCGTTTTTGCATAAGAACTCTTTCTATCTTCTATCTTTCTGTTTAGAGGTGTAAAGTAGTGCTGTAAATGAGATATGGATCTTGTTACATCCCCAATAGCATGACAACAGCTTGTAGTGTATTTGCTGTTACCTTGGGAGAGGCGCACGGGCTGAGTGACCTGCAGGCCATCCACAGAGCACAGGTTTCCACACGGGTGCAGAGTAATGACCCCGCACCGGTTTTCGATGTAGCAGTGCTGCTCCGAGACCCCAGGGCCCTGGATGTTTATGTCCATCGGACCATGGCCCAGAGTGGTCCGCCCTGCACCAAACCAAAGCCTTATATCACTGCGTCATAAACACGTAATAATGTGTAACTCTTGCCTTTTGTCTTTTACCTTCAGGCAGTGGCAGCAGAGTGATGGCAGTGCTCAGACGGCCACTTCCCAGGCTGACCAGATGGGGGCGCTCTGCTTGGAACTTCAACCCTTTTCCTGTGTCAATAAGATCCAAAGGAGTGCTCTGGGAAGTAGAAGAAATTAAGTGTGAACTGGGCATCTGTCTTGTTGATCGGTTTGTTAACTAAAATAGTGGACATGACAAAAAGTTCTCAATGTATCTGACCTTAAAGCTGGAGCACCCAACTGTTTTGGTTTCATAAATGCATTTTGTTTGACCCAACAGGAAGACTCTTGTTTCAGTAACATTTTGCGAAAAAAAAGTCAGACCACAACATGCTGTCTCTCATTTACATGCTGAGAGCGGATTGGCTGAGTCAGGGCTGGTACTCTGGTTTTCACTGAAAAAGATGATCTAAAGATCTAACCCAAGGCCAAAAATATACGTATGTGAAAAGATGGCGAAAGAACCAAACAGTTTGAGGACGATTATGGGTTTAATTAGTCAAAACCCTTGGATGAACGCGGAAGTGAAACTGAAACTTCATGAGCGTGCGTTGGCGTTTCAATCAAATGATACAGTTGCTTATAAGCTATCCTGTTACTCATTGAAACGTTCTATTAAATCTGCAAAGCGCAGTTACGGGGACAGGTTAAAGAGTTATTTTGAGGAAGATGACCCTCGGCGCATGTGGAACGGAAACCTAGCGCTGGGAAAATTGCATCTGTCGGCCAAGCTCTGCCAAACGAGCTGAACACGTTCTACTGTCGCTTTGAATCCGCTGATGCCTGTCCTACTGTATTCCCTGATTGTTTCAATCAAGGTCCCTTCACCGTGACTCAGGAGGAAGTCAGGCGTGTCTTGTCCAGGACCACAGTCCGGAAAGCCCCAGGCCCGGACGGCATCCCTCCTCGTGTCCTGAAACTGTGCTCTGAGCAACTTGCCCCTGTGCTAACAGACATTTTCAACCTGTCGCTAAGGAACTGTACTGTGCCGAACTGCTTTAAAGAGTCGACCATCATTCCAGTTCCTAAGAAAACTCCTGTGACATGCCTGAATGACTATCGTCCTGTGGCCCTCACGTCTGTCCTTATGAAGACTTTTGAGCGGCTTGTGCTGGACTTCATTAAGAGCCAGATCCCTGTGAGTGTTGACCCGCTCCAGTTTGCTTACAGACAGAACAGGAGTGTGGAGGATGCCATCTCCTTTGCTCTGAACTCTGTCTACAGTCACTTGGACACTAGTAAATCTGTCGCGAGAATGCTTTTCATCGATTATAGCTCTGCTTTTAACTGCCTTGTCCCAGGTAAACTGATTGAAAAGCTCATGTCTCTCGGTTTAAGTGTTGCCATGTGTAAATGGATCTATAGCTTTTTAACTGACAGATCTCAGCGAGTGAAAATCAATGACTGTTTTTCTGATGTTGTTTCTGTGAGCACTGGTTCTCCTCAGGGATGTATTTTGAGTCCTTTGCTTTTTACTTTGTACACTCACGATTGTGTGTCCTCCTCTGACTCAAACTTGATCATTAAATATGCTGATGACACCACCATCATCGGTCTCATCAGTAACAATGATGAATCCTCTTATAGAGCAGAGATACAAAATGTGGTTCAGTGGAGTAAAGTAAACAATCTCCAGCTGAACACTGCAAAAACATGTGAACTGGTCTACGACTTCAGTCGCAATAGTTCTCATTTGCCTGTCGTAATCGACAACTCCCAGGTGCAGATCGTAGAGGAGTGCAAGTTTCTGGGTTTAACTCTGTCTAACGACCTGAAATGGGTTAAAAACACTGACCGAGTCGTTAAGAAAGCTCGTCAGCGTCTCTACTTTCTGCGTAAACTTAGAGAATTTACCACTAACTCTAAGATTCTGCTTAACTTTTATCGCTGCACCATTGAGTTTACACTTGTTGGTTCTTTGTCTGTGTGGTTTGGAAACATCACAGATAAAGAAAAGAGAGCTTTAAACAAGGTGCTCCGCTCTGCAAAGAGGACCGTGGGCTGTGAGCTTCCTGTTCTGGAGGTTCTTTATAAATCCAGACTTTTAAACAAAGCTCTTAGGATTGTCAATGACTCTTCTGGCCACCCTGGGAAAGCCATGTTCCAGCTTCTTCCCTCTGGCAGAAGATATCGCTCTCTGAGATGCAGGACATCTCGTTACGCTAACAGTTTTTATCCACAAGCTATTATCAGTGTGAACAGAGCACTTTAATGATTTGCACTTGTTTTGAACTGTTTTAGTCGATCGATTTCACAGTGACTTTTGTTTACTGTTTTATTTGTTTTATTTTTGTCTTTTAATGTTGTTTTATGTCTGTATTTGTCTGTGCACACTGGAGACTTTTCGCTAATGTATTCCAATGTGGTTTTTTTACTGCAAATGGCAAATAAACTGAATCTGAATCTGAATCATTAGATGGTTAATGTTTTTGTGGTTTCAAAGTTAGGTACCCCAGCTTTAATCGTACTCACAAAACTTTTATTCCATACTAAAACAACTTTTTAAAGGCTTAAAAACACACACAATTAAAATGGTTTGGTATGAATATCAAGTAAATATATTTTCATTTGGTCTTTATCTTCCCATTTTTGCCATTTTCCAATAGAAATCCATATAAATTACACCAAATAAAAAGTCAACCAATAGTTTTATCGACAATGTGTCAGCGACCAAATAATCCACTAAATCTTTAAAGACCGTCGTGTGAACGCGGCCTAAAAGTATTGAAACCCTGGGTGACGTCTGCAGTCTGTAGTCTGTAATCTGATAGAGTGGTCACACTATCTGGCCCAAACAGATCACTTCCTCTGGCTGCATTCACACAACTGTCTGCTCTATAATTAGCTCCAAGTGATGAGACCTAATCAGCAATAATTTCCTGTCCATTACGGCTAATGACTGCAGCAAGAGACACCGGTCAATAGCGGTTTGACAACACAAAATTAGATGTGAGCGGAGAGTGGTGAACGTCTGGGGGTTCTTTATCGAGGCATGCGCTAATTTCATGTTATTGTCAGTATTGCATAGTTGGATAATCGAAAATGAAATCATCCTGGATATCACTAGACCTTTCAAGATTTCTAAATGCCCCTGCCAAGCCATTTTTGTCACAAGTCTAGATTCATATTATTTTCAATGTATACAAAATGATAAATACACATTCCTTAAAGCTGGGGTATAACTTTCAACTACAGTATGTAATAAAATAAGTAATGAATGATATCTAACTGGTTCTCACAACTGTTTGATTTAATTACTTTTACTCGGTACCCCAGCTTTAAAGCTTGGTATAGAGTAGACTAAGCAGAGACCAATGGAGTCCTTCCATTTGCTTGGTTTTAATTTAGTTTCTCCAAAGATTAGAGTGCTGTCTCCTGTGCTCATAAAGAGTGACGAGGTGGACTTGCAAACACATTTGGACAAACCTCAGTTGCTAAGATGCAGATGGTTTAAAACTCCATTATTAACTTCTGAATTCCAAAACGCCTTTGTAGACTTTATATGAACAAGGTTGTGAAGACCCCTCTCTGGGCAGCTGCTCTGGTTGGACGCCTCTGTTTGCGTTAATAGGATTAAGTGTCTGAAATGCAGAGGCTGGAGAGGAGAGGTCTGTGCCCTGAGAGGACTGGGCCGAGGTGGCACCTGACTTTGTTGATTTCATTATTTATATCTAAAAAAGACATGTGTGTGAAACTGTTGATAGAACCAAACTCTTTTGAGAGCAAGGAACTATAGTTGGATGGATTTTTATTACACATTTCACCTTTTGTAGTTAGAAAGTTATAGGCGCCGCAGCTTCTAGGGCATTTCTTATTGACCCCAATCTGCATACATATACAGCCATCATAATACTTTACGCATTCAGACAAAAATATTACTAGAATAGAAGTATTGCTGTTATCTAACTAACTTTGTATTAAGGCAAGCACCATGAACTATACACACTTACTCCTGCATGTTGAATTAAATCTATTGAAATCTTGATTTTTTTGAGAAAACACTTGTTCTAATGTCAGAGATGATGGAGGTGACGTTGGCAGATTACTGACACAGTGACATATGTTTGAGGATTCAGCAGCTGCACAGGAAACCAGACCTGCTCACAGCTATTATGTCATTACAGAGTGACGGCAAAATCACAGGTTGAGGCTTGAGAATCTACAGCATTTTGCCCGAAGATTGACATGTGACGGAACACTTTGAAACCAAAAAAGAAAAAGTGTAGTACCATCCAGTAATGCTAATGCCGGGCCTTTACACGCTAACATCAACGTGAAATACGTCGAGACTTTATATGATTTTGATGATTATGGTTTTCAGTGAATTTGACAGAGATCGAGAATTGAAGTTTTTACAAGTTATGAGACCAACATGCTTGATAAATCTTTGTGAGTAATGAGTCTGCCATGTTTCACATTGTAAGTTGAATTACAGAAGTAAATGGTGTTTTTAACAATTTTTTATTTTTTTTCCCAGGATAGTAATTGGTTCCTTTAGCTCTCAAAAGTTTGTGCTGTTGGTCTCTGTCACAGAAGCATTTTTCACACAGCCAATCAGCTCTCAGTATGTAAAAGATACAATGTTTTCTTATAAGAAGGATACAGCGTATTGTGGTCCTAGTTTTCACAAAAATGTTACGTACTCCAACTTTAACTTTAACTTAACAGAAAACAATTTAGTAAATCAAACAAATAAACAATTAACTATTAACAATGGCGTGATACACATACACACACCACTTAATACTGCTGAAGTTAGATGAAAAGCTGGAGACTGAAATGTATTGAATATTCACAGTGGTCCTGCTCAGGCCATAAAAAGGGTCCATGTGTTTTATCTGTTTCTGCAGGCCCTTCTCACCTGGAGGGTCTGGTGCTGGGTGCGTCCATATTCAGGCATGTTCCTGTTCAGTCGGTCCATGTCGGTCCCAGCTCTGTCCCCGTCTCCGGTGGACACATGAAGATCCTGCAGGAGGAAGTGACATCATACGTGAGCAGTTTGCAACAAAAACAACGACTTCACTTTTCTGATGAAGTTACAATGTTGTACTGATTCTTTTCATTGTTGTATTTGGCTCAAAGTGTCCTCTGAACAAAGATTAGAGAAGTTTGCAAATTCAAAAGTAATTTTCTGATCAGCCAAATATTGGAAAATGACTTATAGATGCCAGTCAAAGTGTCTCTCCACTCCAATGTACAGTGCCTTGCAAAAGTATCCGGCCCCCTTGAACCTTTCAACATTTCGCCACATTTCAGTCTTCAAACATAAAGAAATAAAATTTAAATTTTTTGTCATGAATCAACAACAAGTTGCACACAATCGTGAAGTGGAACGACATTTATTGGATAATTTAAACTTTTTCAACAAATAAAAAACTGAAAAGTGGGGCGTGCAATATTAATCGGCCCCTTTACTTTCAGTGCAGCAAACTCACTCCAGAAGTTCAGTGAGGATCTTTGAATGATCCAATGTTGTCCTAAATGACTGATGATGATAAATAGAATGCACCTGTGTGTAATCAAGTCTCCGTATAAATGCACCTGCTCTTTGATAGTCTCAGGGTTCTGTTTAAAGCGCAGAGAGAACCATGAAGACAAAGGAACACACCAGGCAGGTCCGAGATACAGTGGTGGAGAAGTTCAAAGCCGGATTTGGAAAAAGATTTCCCAAGCTTTAAACATCTCAAGGAGCACTGTGCAAGAAATTATATTGAAATGGAAGGAGTATCAGACCACTGCAAATCTACCAAGACCCGGCCGTCCCTCCAAACTTTCATCTCAAACAAGGAGAAGACTGATCAGAGATGCAGCCAAGAGGCCCATGATCACTCTGGATGAACTGCAGATAACTACAGCTGAGGTGGGAGAGTCTGTCCATAGGACAACAATCAGTTGTGCGCTGCACAAATCTGGCCTTTATGGAAGAGTGGCAAGAAGAAAGCCATTTCTCAAAGATATCCATAAAAAAGTCTCGTTTAAAGTTTGCCACAAGCCACCTGGGAGACACACCAAACATGTGGAAGAAGCTGCTCTGGTCAGATGAAACCAAAATCCAACTTTTTGGCCACAATGCAAAACGATATGTTTGGCGTAAAAGCAACACAGCTCATCACCCTGAACACACCATCCCCACTGTCAAACATGGTGGTGGCAGCATCATGCTTTGGGCCTGCTTTTCTTCAGCAGGGACAGGGAAGATGGCTAAAATTGATGGGAAGATGGATGGAGCCAAATACAGGACCATTCTGGAAGAAAACCTGTTGGAGTCTGCAAAAGACCTGAGACTGGGACGGAGATTTATCTTCCAACAGGACAATGATCCAAAACATAAAGCCAAATCTACAATGGAATGGTTCACAAATAGACGTATCCAGGTGTTAGAATGGCCAAGTCAAAGTCCAGACCTGAATCCAATCGAGAATCTGTGGAAAAAGCTGAAGACTGCTGTTCACTGAGCTCGAGCTGTTTTGCAAGGAAGAATGGGCAAGAATTCCAGTCTCTCGATGTGCAAAACTGATAGAGACATACCCCAAGCGACTTGCAGCTGTAATTGCAGCAAAAGGTGGCGCTACAAAGTATTAGCGCAATATGGATGCAACTATGAAAATAAATAAGGAATTACTTGTTCTATTGGCTATTCTATTTAATCTTCTTTTTCCAGTGGTTAATTTATAAAGGATTATAAAGAATAATGCAAAAATTCACTGTGCTGTAAGTTATGTTACTGCTGTATGACACCAATGATAGTCAATGAGTTCAATGAGTCGCTTATTTTCTGTCAATGAGTCGCTTATTTTCTGTCCTGATATGGTAATAAAACCCAGCCATACTTAAAACATGCATTAGGGAAACAAATCAGAGTTATTTTTGGTGCATTTGTCATTTGTGACGTGGGCGCTAACCACCACCGACCAAATTCCATTAATCCTCTTCTCTTTTTACACATAATACGGTGTGATTCATCTAACCAAGAACAGATGCGTCAGCGGCGTTTAGCAACAGTTTTCCTCCCCTCAAGCTCTACGTAACAACACGCTTCCTCATTGACGCTTTGACTGGAAATGGGACCTACTTTGTCACTTAAGTAATGATCTAATTACTCTCAAATCTAATCCAAGACCCTTCCAAGCATATAGACACTAGTACTTAGGGCCAGGACAGAAATGCTTATCTACAGCAATTTAATATCTCAACGCTCCAGTAAACTTAATTACAGCGAGAGGGAAGGTACCTGGGGTTGTTTGCGTTCCTAAAATGTTGATGGGAAATACAGTTCTGATGAGAGCTGCAGCCTGGGGCAAGCATATAACAAACGGTGACAGTGTAGTTTGAGCTAAGTTCAAGCTGTTTTGGGAGAAAAACTAGAATGCATTGAATGGAGTAACATGAATAAGAGCACAACATTTTGATCAATATATTTAAAAAGGTAGAATGCGACAAATTGAGGAAAATGACAAAATATAAAAGATTAAGATTAAGAAATCCTTTAATAGTCCCACAGAGGGGAAATTTCAGTGTTGCATCACAAGTTACAGAGCAGGAGGAATGAGGAGCATACAGCACAAGAAATATTAATATTAACTCAACACTAAAATAATATATAACAAAATCTCTATCTTTAGCATAATAAGGAGAGAAGTCTTAAAATCTCCAACTTTTACATGATGAAGAAGCAAGAATTAAGAACAAAAAGCCCTGACTTTAGCATAATAAGAAGCAAGTATAAAATGTATAATATATATGTATATATAGTGCATATAATATACAGTTGTGTGTAGACATCTGTGCAGGTGAGCAGCATGAGAGTGGGACAAAGTGACTCAGCAGAGGTCTGGTATTGTCTCTCAGCAGAAGACGTGTTTTATTGTTGGTGCACAACAAAAACTGTCACAAACAGTTTTCACAGCGTTCACAAAGTGTTATACCAAGACAAAATAAGAACACTCCCCTCGTCAATAGATGAGTTTGCTTTGACCTTCAGAAAACCAATACATCAGGTAGAAAAGTACTGCTTCTGTTTGCATCTGTTGTGATGACCAGCTTAGATTCAACACGCTTGCAGAAAAAGTCTCATAAAACATCTGTTAAAAGGGTTCAACTTTGATCAAATTTAGTAACCATCTGATCCACACATAAGACAAGTTACTGGTATGTCCTCAAATGTTTTAACTATGGCTCGTCAATAAAATAGGTCAATGCAGCCAAACACTATCTTATTATATCATGTATAGGCTCACAAAACAGAATCTATAGTGACATTTTAGTATCCATCACCTATTTCAACAATCGTTTGCAGCTAGCCATTTCTGATCTTTTTTTGTAGTAGATACATTTAAAACACATCTCACAAGTCAACAGATCTAACAAAGATCTAATTAGACCTAATCCAGCCATTATCTGCAACACTAACCTTTGCAGCAATCTCGCTATACGACAAAACATCACCATCATCACTACTACTTATCTATTTCCTCTTTCTCTTTACCTTTGCCCAGTTGTCCAGCCATAACAGAGCCTCCATAGTTGATCGCTGCTCTCCCAACACACGACTGACCCAATCTTCTCAGCGTGAACCTGATTAAGTAGGACACTTCTAAGACCTCACAGCCAATTTGCCTGCATTTCCTGCACTCACACAACCTGGGCTACCATGAAGGATAAAGTCTGTCTGTCTTTGTCTCTTTGTCCAATCCAATACAAACTCCCACACACACAAGAACACAGAGAGGAGAGGAGATGGACCTGTCCCTGCTTGCTCCACTAAACTAAGACTTGCATTCCTGACTGGCAGCTCTAACTAAATACATGTCTGATTGAAAGTAGCGTTTGTTCATTGATCTAAAAAGGAGACGGATGAATGGCAACAGTGATATAGATCTTTGGCAAGTTTGTTTAATGCATACTCAAATAAATGTTTTCAATGGAATAAACCCAGAACACGTGAATGGGCTTGTGATGTTTACAATGGGAAGCATGAGTGAAAAGATGGCTGGAAGCAAACACTTCTATCTATCTCCGGGTGCTGGATGAGTAGCTTTAGGCGCAAGACTTAGGCATAAGGCTTAAGACGATATCACTGACAGGTTTTAGAGAGACTGCAAGGTATAAAATGGTCTTAATCTGCTAAAGTCTGTTTGTGATTGCTATTTTTAACATTGTACACAGTTGGGAGATTGTGCTTCGAGAATAAACTGTTCATTCTGCCGTTGCATTAAAGCAGGTGGACCTAACTTTGAAACGACAAAAGTGGAACTGTAAAATCTGTGTCACTTGTTCCTTGCTCTCCAAACTGTTTGCGTCTACCACAAATTTTCATGTGCATATATGTCTTGTCACATCTTTAGATCAGCTTTTCAGACAGAAAATTTTTTCAGACCACCCTCACTCAACCCGGGTGGTCAGCTCAAAGCCTGTCAAAAAGTGTCTAAAAGTAACTCACTGGACAAGTATGCAAAATAAAACAGTTTTTTTAATAAAAGATATATAACTTTTTACTTCTACAATACTTTATTCTGTTGAACTAACTGTGTATTATTTGGGAAAGAAAAAAAGTGTTGACACCCCAGCTTTAAGAGAGAGTTTAGTCACCTACTCAGTTCTATAGTTAGATATGTGGGAGATACATATACTGTATGTTTTTGCAAGAGGTTCACAGACATTTTTAGTTGATTTGATTTGAACTCGGACCCGTCATTACCTCAGCACAGGGTTTAAATCTCCAAAATTAGAGAAGATGTGTGTGTGTATGTATTCATGTATTATTTATTGAGATTTTTAGCATGTAACTTGCAACTCTCTGTGCTTTTTAATTGCCCCTTGGGGATAAATAAAGTGATTGATTGATTGATTGATTGATGTTGCAAATCAAAGTCTATAATGTCTATAACCAAGAATGTCTTTGGTTAACGATAAGGCCCTGGTTCCCACACCACAGCCCCCTCCCTCACTGCGGGGGGCTGAGTGTCTCTTCTTCATATTCACACACGGTCAATGCAGACGGGACAAAAACGCCTGCTCAGTGTCTCTGCGTCTCATGGATCATGGGCAGAAAGACTGGCCTCGTTTCAGCTCTTCACACACATGAGGAGGTCTGGTTTGGGAGGCTTTGAAAACAAGGAGTGAACAGACAATTCGACAGGAATGTAAAACCGAATGAGCAGAGAGAATAGGGAGGATGGAGGAAGTTGAAATGTGTTGGTTTGCAACAACAGTGTATAGATGACGACCTTTGAAAATCCTTCTACCATGGAGCTGGTCTGGACAAATTGTTGTAATCATATGTCACTGTGGTGTCAAAAAATGGGGGGAATGTGGAGATAATCAGGAATTAGATAAAAAAAAGAAGGACTGGGTTTTTGTCATGTAGCTTCATGATGCCTAGTCTGACAAAAGTGGAACTGTAAAATCTGTGTCACTTGTTCCTTGCTCTCCAAACAGTTTGCGTCTACCACACATTTTCATGTGCATATATGTCTTGTCACATCTTTAGATCAGCTTTTCAGAATCAGAAACATTTTTCAGACCACCCTCACTCAACCCGGTGTCTTTGCAAAAGTACTTACAAAGACATTTATTACATGGTTTTATAATAAAGAAAGTTGATTAATAGGTCCTGCGTGTAGGAGGATTGGAACTAAAGCTCAGGTGAAGAAAAAGGCGGGTATTCAAAGCAAATACACCTGCTCTATTAACAAACAAATATGAAAGACATGAAAAAGGCAGAACTCCTCAAAGGTGCATTATAAAACTTATGGTCATGTGTGGGTGATATCAGACCGGCCCACATTGCACATACTTAATTAAATAAATCCTAGTGGATATATACAATGGGGGACGATGTGAGTAATAGCCTCTTCATTTGAAAACAAAATTTGAAAGGCTTACATTTTGCCCCTTTACAGAGTAGTTTTTATAATTAAAGTCAAGTTTCAGCCCCAAATCTTGAGCAAATCCTTTCAAATGTACTGCCAGTAATGTTTAGGATTGCAGCGGGAGGAACACAACTTTTTGATCCATTTTCAAAAGGGCTCTTTGTCTGTACCTTCTATAATAACTCCAAGTTCATGGAGTTAACAGAGAGAACAAAATAATTAATAGTATCTTGAGCGGTTACATAGTGTGTCCGGCTGTCTCTGCTGATAAGGTGGTTCTTGTTAATCCTGCTGTAGCACATGCATCCATCTCTTCCCCCTACTCTCCTCTACACCCTCTCTCTCTCTTTCTCCAATCTCTCCTCATTATAAGCCCCTCATAAGTCAAACACTCCCCTATCTCTTAAAGTCCACTCAAATTCACTGCTTCAATCATTCACGAGACCTTCTCCTCGACTTTTGGCTGCCACACTTGGATAACGCTCAACAATTGTTAGAGGGAGGCAACAAAAAAAACACCTGCAGGCTATAATTATGAGTAGACTTGTTTGTGCTGCATGTCGTTTGCAATATTTTTAAGAAAGCTTAGACACCATTTCCAATAAACAACAGGGACAGCTCAATTCTGTTTCTGTGGGTTAAAAAGGGTTACGCAAACAACGTTTTTTAAGACTTCTCATTCTCATATAATCAGGGCTGCCAATATATCCATTGGCAAACGAATGTCCACCACCAGCGGAACAGGGGCTCTACTCTGAGCTCCTCCAGTGTGACTGAGCTCCTTTATATATATTTATTTATGTGGTTGTTCTTGTCCTTTTGGTCGTAGATTTGCCGTTAAGTTGGACCAGGCGTAAATCCAAGCATATTTTGTTACAAGCAGAAGTAATAAAAAAACTACATTGTAGTTAAAGTCAGGGGCAGAGATCCAGATAAACATCGTATAGATCTTGACACATACAATTACAAACATATCATAACACTTCAAATCACAGGTTTGCAACATGCCAGTCCTGTAACGCTGCTGTTTTCGGCAAATGACATGACCTGATTTTAGAAGTGGAGTGGACCACAGAAATGCAGAAAACTGGTGCCGTGGGAAGAACTCTGAGCCACAATAACAATGCACCCGCCAACCCCGCTGTCAATAAAACTATTACATACTTCTGTGTTGTTTTATTATTATATTATTATAAAAGTATTTCACTGCTTGAGGACAATGGTGACAAGTTGAAATGTGTAATACAGAAATTTGAAAAACAAGTGTAATACAGAGAATGGAAAAGATGGTTGCACGAATAACAAAATAGGACCACACCTCTACACATATAATGGAGGCAAAATGTATTTGTCGACAACAGCAAAGTGTAGATTACTTAAAATGTTTAGTTAAACATTCCTTTGATTTACATCTTTAAAGACGTTTTTGTTAAGAACAATTTGGGATATAGAAGACACAACATTTCTTGTGACTACTCAGACATAAAAAATAAAAACTGTGAATGTGCCTCATTATGGTGTCTTTCTGCTTAAAAAAAACTATTATTATCCATGGATCAGCTCCTGTCTCCACAGATATGACCTGTAATGATTGGATCAGCCCAAACAAAAAGTGGATCCACTACCGGGAAAGTTGCATAGTGCATCTTTAAGATGCAAAATAACCAAAATGTTGAGTAAAAACTTACATCCAAGTCATTTTAAGGCTCATATAGTATTTGCAGGATAAATGTAACTAGTGTGTTTTCATATAAGGAAACAGCAACGCCTTGGTTTGTTTTCCTATTTATAACATTTAAGAATACGTCTTTGTTGTGAAACAACTTTTCACTGTGAAAACATCAAAGCCAAATCCAAACAGACTTTTACGAGGGGAGCATGAAGTGCACTGGATTGTGGCGTCTTCTATTGTGGTGTGGAGTCTCTACAACCACAATCATTCATTCAACAGCATTTCTCTATTTAATGTTGGAGTTTGGGTGCAGGAATCCACTTGACAGAGACAAAGACGACTTGAAAGCAACAGGAAGCTTCGGTGACAGACAGAAGAAAACCACGACAAATTGATGCCGGATCAGTGTCACTATAAAAGGACTTCCTGTTCAGCCAGCCGCCACTTCCTGTTGGCGACAGAGGCCAAGGTCAGGCCGGTGCTCTGCCCGCGAGAAAAAAACAGTGTCACATCTGCACGGCTCCTCTGAACGCTCCACTTTTAGACTCAAGGGAAGTAAAAGGCTCTGACCACAGACAGTGAAATAAACAGGGGAAGCCAGAATCAGCACAATGAGCCAATATCAAAACAAAGACATTTTACTTTTCTTTTTACTGTTATTTTTTTGCAAGATGCCATTCATTGTAAAAGGAAGAGTGTCATTTCATTCCATTCCATTCCATCTTCTTCCGCTTCATCCGTTGCCGGGTCGCGGGGGCAGCAGTCTAAGCACCCTCCAACCCCAGGCTGCGCCTAGAGATTCTGTCCATAAACACAGTGAACAGAACCGGTGACAAAGGGCAGCCCTGTCGGAGGCCAACATGCACCAGGAACAGGTCTGACTTACTACCGGCAATGCGAACGCAGCTCTGGCTCCGGTCATACAGGGACTGGACGGCCCTCAGTAGAGGAAATCTCCAAATCCACAAAGCACATGTGGACAGGTTGGGCGAACTCCCATGAACCCTCGAGTATCCGATGGAGAGTGTAGAGCTGGTCCAGTGTTCCGCGACCGAGACGAAAACCACACTGCTCCTCCTGAATCCGAGATTCGACCATCGGCCGTAGCCTCCTCTCCAGTACCTTGGAGTAGACCTTACCAGGGAGGCTGAGGAGTGTGATCCCACGATAATTGGAACACACCCTCCGGTCCCCCTTCTTGTAGAGAGGGACCACCACCCCAATCTGCCACTCCATTGGCACCGCCCCCGATCGCCACGCGATGTTGCAGATGTTGTCAGAGTGTCATTTCAGTTACACGAAATAATGTGTAAAATCAATGCATTGTACTTTATGGACTATCAACGACGCCTCACATGCAGAATTATTCATCCACGTTTAACAGCGGTGATAAAACTTTTTAGTATAATTGAGTTGAGTATTTATTTTGAGTTCAATGTACATCAAATCATCCATTTACAGTTACTTATTACAATATGATAATGGAACTGCATTAGTCCCAGCGACCCTGGAGCTGAAGATGATGCCAATCTGAGCCATCGGCCACTCCGACCACTAACAACCATGCCACACCAGCCATACTGTGGGACATTCTGGGCCAAGGAAAAACATCCAAGATGATCCATTCATTTACAATTTTCAGTGGTTGTTTGTATAACCAATTTAATACTGTAGGTTTTTGACCCAGCAATAGAGAAACATTGTTCATTATAGATAACCACAGTCTGGCTCTTGATGGCATGCTGGGAGATAAGACTAATCAGACCACAGCACATTACAATGCAAATATATACAGTGTGATAGCAGCGTCTCTCCCTCTGATAACATGAGTCAACACACATCAGATTTTCTGCCACGAGGCGTTCATGGACCCGCGCCACCATCAACAAAACCTTCACCCTGCGCTCTGCAGTCTGTGTCATGGACTACTTCACAGGGCTGTCCAGTAGTCAGAGGGGAGGCTGGATATAGACGTGTGTGCTGCAAGGGCACGTACGCATCAACCTGGTAAATAGTTTGTAATTATTAAACTATTTTAGTTGGCCAAATAACAGTTTTGTTTGATAAATAATAAAGTTTTTTCCCAAAGGACTCTTTTAAAAGTAAAATGTTAATAATCTCACATTGTGCTGTAAAGTATGATGTCATGTTCTATGGTGTGATGTCGTGTCTTTGTTGACTCATGTTTGTTTGGCAGTTCCTCTTGACCAAAGCCCACACAGATTTACAGATTTACAGATTTAAAGGTTTAAAGGTTTAGGAAAGTGACCATAAACATCAGGCTGCACCTGTCACTTACAGCATCACCTCATTATTATCCTCCAAACCACCATCTGTGGACCAGTGTTTTTAATTTAGGACTGAGAGAGCGGATTAAAGGCACCAATCCTGTGGACCAGCAGGAAGAACACCTATGGGAGTTATTTTTTTTGGATATTTGAATTGAAAGTCTGATGAAACCTACTTTTTCATTGTCTTGATTGGACTACATTACTATACTGTATATACTATTTTTACTATATTTGACAGTATTATATTTTTTACCAAGAGAACAAGCAGAACAATTTTTTGTTTTATCTAAAAAATTGAAAAATACACAAAGTACAAGAAATTAGGGCAAAAGTGAGACTGCAATAGAAACATCACATATTTATTTGGCCAATCTAAAAATACACAGAAATCCATATGAAGTTATTTTTGAACAGTGTGATGTTACTTAAGCCTAAACCCACAGCGTCAATTTGCTTTTGTATTATAACTACAATCTATATTCATGACATAAAAGGCTAAAACGGTAGAGACCTCCTTGTGTAACGCAGTCATCTCTATGCAGGTAGAATAATAAAAATAGAATTTCTGACTTCCCATTTGTTTGTGTTCAGGAAGAAAACACTCAAATCCATCATGTCTCAGTCTGTTTCCAAACAAACAGCAGCGTGTTTCTGGTTCCCTTTCACACGCACACACCTTTAGAAACTCAACACTTCACTTGGACAACACCATCTAAAGTCCATCTAGCTTAAAACAGCACTGATGATAACTTTAAACACAGATGGAGGTGTAGTAGTGAGTGACAAGGGAGAAGACCTGAGTGGGGTATCCCGCGATTGAGTCATGGAAACCGCCCTGAGTCAGTCCATCCATGTTATTCTGTTGTTCATACTCACTGCAGCTTGTGGAAACACTTACTATTCCTCCTGGGCTCATACAAAGACACGCTTGTACTGCCGCTGTAACATTTCAATTGTTTACAAGAACAGAAGGCTGGTCCATGACTACATCTCTGACCCCGTAGTTCATGCTCCGTGTTGCAATGGCACAAAATACAAAAAGCCCTGGTTACAGACAACAACACAAGCAAGACTATTCCCATTCAATCTTCAAGAAACAATAATATATGTCACTTTTAGACTAAACAAAACGATTTTATATTTTCATGTTCTTTAGCAAATCTTCCTTAAAATTAAATGAAATGCTTACTGCCAAGAACATAATTTTCAAATCATCATCATCATTCATCTAATAAGCTTTAAACAGTCATATTGTGAAAATCCAATCTTGCCCAATCTCGTGATCTTCTTAGTGAAATGTGATGTTATGAATCTGATTGAATGATTGATAGTGGCCAGATGTGGAGTGGAGTTTGCATGTTCTCCCCGTGCCTGCGTAGGTTTCCTCTGGGTACTCCGGTTTCCCCTACCACTAAAAACATGATCACTAGGTAAAATCCTCCAGCTCGGGTAATCCTGACCAAGACGAGCATCAACATCAGGAGATGGGTTCCCGGGCGCTGTACTACGACGACCACTGCTCCTGACATAAGCCTTCGCGGTATCAGGATGGGTCAAATGAAATTGAATTGCCCTACGGGGATTAATAAGAGTGCACCTTTACCTTTACAAAGCTGGGGTACCTAACTTTCAAACAAAAATAAATTAACAATGTAATAACATCCATCTCACTAGTTCCTTGCTCTCAAAACAGTTCTCACACCAATAACTCTGACAGAAAAGTGAAAAAGCCAATCAGCTCTCAACCCAAAATAGTGCAAAATAGTGACTTTAGGTATCTTCCTTAAAAATGTGCAAAAGATAACATGTTTTCTAACAAGATAACAGCATGTCGTGATCTAATGTCAACATTTTACTTTTACAAGACTATTTCTGTTGAGACGAACACAAGGTATTAATAATGAAAATTCCATTAATGCTTTTCACAAATCAAAAGCATTAATGACCTCCTTGTATCAAATGAAAGTCAAACAAAAATCCAGTGTAGTGTACAGTTTAGTGTCTGTAACGCATTTGGACTACATCTGGTCTGAGGTTATGTCTGGGGTCTTTAGATACTGGGGCCTGGAGGGGCAGGTGAAGAGGAAGCAGCCAAACACCATGAGCTCATCGTTTACCGCCGTCTGCTGCCAACACCGTCACCACGGCAACGCACACGACAAAACACTGCTGTTGTTGTCGCCCCTGTTTTACTATTGTCGAGTCAAGGCAAGAGTCACTGCTGTTTGTTTGTACACAGGACTCTCTGATCCAACTGAGAGTGACGTGGGGTTAACTGGGACAATGCTTTTTATATGAAGGGACCATTAGACACTAACAGAAATAATTACTCATTATCATGTGGTTTAGAAGGCATTAGGGTTACAAGCCATATGGGGGAATGTTGGGGGAGTAACGCAGTACATATACCAGGATTACATATAGTAGTAGTATTTTTGAGAAACTGTATTTGGAATATAAGGATTTGATGTTCCATAAAAACAAATGAAAAAGAGGCTTGAGTTTTTTATTTATTTTCCAATCAAAAAAATGAGCAAACATGAAATAATAAAAATAATAATAAAGTTTGAAAACACAGAAAATATGTAATACAATCCATGTAACTTGTTCCTTGCTTTCAAAACTGTTTGGTTTAATGTTTTTTCAGCCTCTGTCCCTGTCTATATTTCGATTTGCTTTTTCAGACATACAGTAAAAGACATAAAATTAAATAACCATATTACTTGAATAAGAATCAGTAGTAATTAGTAGATTGATGCACTTCTGTCTGCTATACAGCCTGCTGATTATATTATTCACTGTTTTAACAAACTAGTATAATTGTTGTTTTGCATGTTTGATTTAGGAGAATTTAGTCAGAACATAAAAAATAACAAGATCATCCTATAAAAATTCTCCCTCCATAACTGAGAGAACACTTTGTCTCCAGGGAACATGAATGTAAATGTCACTTCAAGGGTTTATTACAGACTTGACGAATGACTTTGGGTGAAGAATGAAGGAGCGATGAAGGAGAGGAACAAGAGGGAGGAGAGGAACGAGAGGGAGGAGAGGAACAAGAGGGAGGAGAGGAACGAGAGGGAGGAGAGGAACAGAGGTCGGGTCCTGTCCGGTGTTTGAAGGCGACCAGTGCAGCTGTTCCCGTCCAGAGTCACAGCTGTTTGAACATGTGGACAGAGGCTTTGGAGCTGCTGCTTGAGCAACATGTTCAAATCAAAAGACCGCCATAACAATATGTTACGGTGTGTTATGGTCATTTTCAGGTTATGAGCATTTAGAGGCTCATCCAAATATAAACACTGTTTTGGACAAAACTGATCGATATTAGATAAAGATAAATAAATCAGAAATGTCAAGGGTCACTTATTTATCAGCTTTTACAGGTTTGCTATTTTCAATGAGGAAAACAAAAGAAAAGGGGATTGAAGGTTTGAGGTCAAGAACATTAGCACATTAGCACATCAGCACATTACATTGAAAGTAATTGAGTGCATTTAAAAAGTTGTGTATGTACCTCTTATCAGGAAATTAAGAATGTTCAAGGCAAACTAAAAGTGTCTACTAATACAATGTTAATATCTCAAAATTTGGTGAGAAACCAATCTGAAATGATGGTTCTGAGACTGTATTTAGGGGAGGTAAGTTTTGATCGCACTTTCACATTAAATCTATGATCAAATAAACTTGTAACCTGTACATTCACATTATTTTTTAGATTAGATCATATAATTTATTTTTTAAACCTGCATAAGTCACATCAACACAAACACAGATACAAGTATAAGTTTTTAAAAGGGGTTGGATGAAGCGGTATTTAACATACTAACCGGGGATCTATGCTTCTTTGAAAATAAATGAAACAAATTTGGACACTTTGGAGATTTAATTCAGTTTAGTGAATTCAAAAGTCACATCTGATTGGTTGCAGGAATGGTTGTCCTTATGGTTTCGGTTTGGTCAGATTATTTACGGGTTTGCGTTTACACCTGGTTTTTGAACTGTGGGGCTGTGAACTCAGAGTAAAGGTTCAACAGCAGCTGGAAGCCTTCATAAATGGAAGATGAATGATGTTGACCGGAGAAAAAAAGTGAAATATCTCCAAAGATATCTCATATCAGCAACAAAGTACTTTTTTCCACAGGTGATCTCATGGACTGTTTATGTGAGTTGATATTCCTAATGCTGCATCTGCACAGTCTGCCTCAATTGTTGGACAAAGCTTTTGAGTTTTGCGTTAGGTTGTCAGAGGTTATAGTTATGCAAGAGGAGAAAACAAAAGTAACAAAGAGAAAAGTCTATATTCAAGTAACGTATAAGGACGGTACTTTTAATCAGCATTTTAATCAGTAGCTTAGACATGAAGGTCAATTACCACTCACTTCCTCTCTGCAGACCTCCCTGCTGATGCCCGAGCTCCCACTCCAAATGTGCCCATATCAAGTGGCTGCTTCACAAGCCCACTCGTTTTCCCATGAGCCTCTCTGTTAGCGCCATGATACATTGAAATTATAAACCCATTAGAGTCCTCTTCGGGAAATACTCTGGACTTCCTGGCAGTATTCAACCTCATTTTTTGATTTCATAATAGATGTAGGTGGTCCAAAAAGCTAAATTAATTTGTAGTCCAGTAAATAAATGACTTAAAAATGGCTGAATGTAAGTATATAATATCAATATATATATTTAAACGATAACTTCTTCTAATGTTTAGATCCACACTCAATCGAGACTATTAAAGCTGGGGTACCTAAGTTTTTGCATAAATAATACATCGTTTGTACCAGCAAAACATGCAGTCCTGTGTCTCCAGATTAGAAAACATTTTATCTTTGACATACTCATAAGAAAGAGCCATGTGAGTCACTAATTGACGCTTCGGACTGAGAATCCTCTTTTTTCACTTTTCTCTCTGAAAAATGTGACAGAATTCAAGCCAAAAAAATGCGTGAAAACTAGTGATAGAATCAAACTGTTTCAATTCAATTCAGTGTATTCTTGTGTAGCTCTAGATCACAACAGTAGTTATCTCGGAGGATCTAACAAAACCGTTGAATTTGCCAACACAGACTAATAAAAAATAACAAGAAAAAAAACACATAGAGCCATTGGTCCATAATGTGCAGATGACCACTTTCCATAAATGTTCATAAATGTCCATAAATGCTTGAGTTGAGTGAGTTTTAGAGAAAGGGAGTTAGACAGATTTTTAAGTAGATAGTAAAATATGCTGTAGTTTGAAAGTTAGGTACCCCAGCTTTACGTTTCTCGACTCTTGCCACACTTGTCCCATCCACAGCGCTGGTCAACAGTGATGCCATTAGCATGAGAGCACCCATGGGCAGGGGACCGGTGTGGGTGAGAGGGTGGAGGCTGCTATAGAGTGCCTCTGTGTGTTGGCCTGATTGTGCTCTCAGCAGAATGAGCTCACATAACAAAGGATTTATTATCAGTAGCTGGAGAGGAGCTGGAGTCTGGGAACTGGGCACAGGCGCTCTCTGCTGCCAGGAGCCCCAAAAATGTGTCCGAACAACAACGCGCACTGTACAGGTCCATCATAAAGACGCCTGTGTTCCAGTGGAAAGACTGAGAGCGGCTCCAAATAGAGATGGAATAATGCTGTATTAATGTGAAGTCACTCACAACTGCAGCCAGTGAGAGAATGGCTTTGTCGACAAAACATGACCCGAGAATCAACCCGTCAACTCAAATCTATAGTGCAGTTGTACGGGAAAAAGTCAATATTTACTGAATAAATATACAGTATATGAAGACCGTATACTGTATTCACATGAGATAGAGCAAGTAAAAAGATTTCTCAACCTCTAAAAATAATTCTCAGTATAGACCCACAACACTAATGACTCTACTACTACTACTACTACTACTACTACTACTGTACTACTACTACTACTACTACTACTACTACTACTACTACTACTACTGTACTACTACTACTACTACTACTACTACTACTACTACTACTACAGTGATTGTCATTTCCACGTCTCTTTTGAATCTTGTCTTCTGCCCCAGTTTGGTTCAGTTTTGTATTTGTAATTTATATTTATTACTTAACAATAACAATACTTCTACTTCTACTACTACTACTATTATACTACTACTGCACTTCTACTACAACTATAATACTACTACTGCATCCAACTACTACTTTTACTTCTGGACTTCTACTAAGACTTAACTACTACTACTACTACTACTACTACTACTACTGCTACTACTACTTTGTTCAGCACTTTGAGTTGCCTTGTGTATGAATTGTGCTATACAAATAAACTTGCCAACTATACTACTACTACTGCATCCAATTACTACTTTTACTACTGGACTTCTACTAAGACTTAACTGCTACTACCACTACTACTATTACTACTACTACTACTACTACTACTACTACTACTTAGACTATACCTCTACTTCTAATACTACTACTACTACTACTAATATACTACTACTGCACTTCTACTACAACTATACTCCTACTACTTCTACTACTGCGTCTACCACGACTACTACAAGACACCTGGGATGTTCTGTGGTACTGGGAGTATTTACTTCTTACTTACTGCGGTGAGAAAACGTGTTTTGAGAATAAAATGTTTGGTCAAATCTGTTGTTGACGCAAGATTTCCAAGGACTGTCCCATGTCTGAAGATTTGCTATCTGTCGTATCTGTTCACGTTCAGATGGTTTAGGTTACTGCATTCTTTCACATCAATGTTTACTAACTTCACTCCAACCCAAGATTACTCACTCAAGACCACAGGTTAATCTTTGGACTAAACAGGAAGAGTATGAAAAAGTTCAGTCTAAAAAGTTGTAAGAGGAAGAATGGTCTCTCTGTTGTTGCACCTGTGATCATTCCAGATGTTCAGATCAGAAAAGCTTTCCACACGTCTTGATTATGAGGCGTCACAATGAAACAGGGATGATGGAAAAGACCACTGTTGCCAAAAATGTACAAGAAAAAAAAAGACACGACTTTAATGTAGCTAACAGAAAGTGTCATTTGATATTGTTAGCACTAGATATTCCTACATGGCAACAATGAAAAGCATGAAGTCATCAACATTGTAGCCCGAGAGACTGTAAATATTAAACTTTGCTGAGTTCGAAAGCCAAAGTTTGGGTTTCAGAAATGCCTCAATTCCTCGCGAGTCTTTTGTTAATGTATCAAAAATTAGAATATCGTAGTTAATTTACTTCTGCAATTAAACTAATAAATGACTATGTCTTTATTTGTGTTATATTGTTGATAATTGGCTCACAGTTGGTAAAACACCTGAATAAAACATCTCAAATTAAATTAGATTATTTTACAAATGGACTGTAAGCCATAACTATAAACATTATACTAAAGAAAAGCCGGTCATATGTCACTTTACATGTAATGAGTCTATATTATGTATTGTTTTCACATTTTAAGTTAAAACACAGAAACAGAGAAAATTTGGAACAATATTCTAATTTTGCGAGTTTCACCTGTATAGAAAAAAATAATTGCCCACAATGGCAACTACCAAAGATTAATCAGACATGGATATTAGAAAACAATCCATGCATTTACCTGATAATAAGCTGCTGGTTCCTTCTTGTATGAATTCCGATGTAACTTTACTCCTCAAACAGAAAGGATCCCACAGTGAACTGGAGAAACGGTCCAGTCCTGTCACCACAGCCTACACCATGTGCCCAGGTCTGAGTCCGCTCTCTGCTCGGCCCCTCCTTCCCTGACGCACACACACACACAGACACACGCACCCCTCCTCTGGTCTCCACACACAGACACCCTTCGCTGGGTCAGCCTCTCTGTCCCGGCCCGGCCTCGCCCCGCTGCGGGCATAAGGAGCTCATTCTTCTGCAGGACAGTGGGCCTGTGTTGTTGGTGCAAACCTGGGTAAAGGTAAATACAAGGGTGCATGGAAACTTTGCCTGTTTTTAACTCTGGCACACTTATTAAAGACAAAGTTATAGCTATTTTGACGGCCGCTGGATTCTCCATGTTACAAGCCCTTTTACATAGTTTTATGAGATCACTCTTGTAAGCCACAGGTTCACATGTAGCAACAACTGTGAAGTGCTTTGTGACTCTGGTCTGTGAAAGAAAAGCGCTATATAAAGAAAGATTAATTACTTACTTACTTACGAAGACAGAATACATCATTCTTGAATCACAATGAAATAATAAATATGGTACATTCTTATTTGCACTTAAAAATTATGTTTAGAGTGTTAAATGATATCTTAAGTAGAAAATGTAGGGAATAATAAGTATGAACGCCCCCTATGCTACCATCAGAGGGAAGAGTGGATTTTGTTTCCCCAAACATGCTAATTACCAAACAAATGTGATATGAGATTGTGAAGAATTTACAGTTTGATTTTGCCTGAGAAATCTTTGAGGGACAATACTTTTGGCTTCAAAAGGCAGGAAATGAAACAATAGGCAGCAAACTGCTCTGAGCGTGATGTCACAGTGGTGTATTACATCATACTGACACAGGACTGAGGCAGGAGCTTTTAGACAGAAGGGGTGGAGTTACATGTTTGTGCCAGAAGTTTCTGATAGTAGCACGGGTGGAACTAAAAACAACTCCAGGTCTGTTTGTGATACATGACCAATGGTGTAAGATGGTTAAATGCTCAATAAAGTCTATCTTATCTTATCTTCCATAACTCGTCTCTTTTCAATAATAAGGCATCGGACATTTGTGTTTCAACAACATCTGCAGAACGTCTCTCAGCGAGAAAGACCAGGTGATAAAACCATGAATGTCACAGCACCCATGAATTTGAAACATTCCACAACATATATTTTTTTTAAAGGTTTACCTGTCTCAATTATTTGTTTTTACCCTATTTTTCCAGTGTGGCTTTTACATAGTCTTCTGGAAGTGGGTGATGTCTAAAAATAGATTTCAGCATCACTTCAGTCACCTTCTCAGATATTCACGTTTGAATGACCACAGACTTTTCCACGAGTGATATTTTGGGATATTCCACATATGCGGGCAACTGTCAGAGGCCAACGGTATTAGTAATGCTGAAGAGAAACAGCAGAGGGGGTGCCAAAAGAACCACTACATCTAAACAACATGCCGATCCAAACAAGGACAGCACCAAGGAAAATACTTTAATCCACAAGGGTGAGAAGAAAACTCTCGGCAACTTAAGAAAGTTAGTTGTTACTCACTGAATAATGTAAAAATGAGTTGAGCCGACAATTAGTTTTACTGGTGTTTACATTTAGATTGAGGCCCTTCATAAATGTTCTTATTTTTACACATCTCCTTGAGCTGCTGTTTGTCTGCGTATGTGATGTCAACATTAGACAGTGATTTTTTAACAACATTATTTGTTGACATTAAACAAATACAACACATACCGTGGAGCTTGCCATGCAAACAGTAATATCTTTCTCAATATACTACTCGACGCGAAAGCCAGAGGACCTGGTTCCACAGAAGCAGATGTGCAGACAGATGTTGTTTTATTTGGTTAAATGTGTCGTCGCAACAGAGAAAGAAGTGGGAAAAACAAACACAAGGTTCTCGTCCAGACAGTAAAAGTCTATGTACACCCAGAAACCACAGCTATGTTTGGGATTCTGCAGAGGAGTGAGAGGAAATGCCACATATGCACAACATTACATAAGACAAGACATTTTCGAGGTATTGGATGTGCATGGTTTGTTATTAAATACTTTATGCATCCATCCATCCATTTTCTTCCCCTTAATCCATTTCTGGGTTGGGGGGGTGGCAGTCAGAGCTGCACCCAGTACACATAGCACCAGCCCCTCACTGATCCTCCTGCAGGTGGTGAGTCCACAGGAGCTGAGATATTTCAGTTGGGGTTTGGGGCAAAGTTGGGTTAAGTGCCCAAGGACACAACTACAGCAGTCATCAGTGGGAGTCGTGAAGTAGGTCTTACGGTGGGCTCGAACCCACGACCTTCAGGCTCAAAGGCCAATGCTCTACCAACTGAGCTACTGTCGCCCCCTTAAATACTTTATATCTATTCAAACTATACACTCACTGTATCAAATTATACGTCCACATAAGCATTGTCATTGTCAAAGAAGTATTGCCTGTAAAACTTATGATGCAACAAATACTATTGAAAGAATTTGGTACTGTAATCAATGTACTGTAATAAATAGTAGTCGTTACTTTGGCTGTTTCTATGTACCGTATGTGTTTCTATAGACTTCATAACTAGCCATGTGTCATTTTCTACCCCTTTATTATTCCATTTCTGGGTCGAGGGGGGGGGGGGGGGGGGGGGGTGGCACTCAGAGCTGCCACCCAAGTCTCAATGCACCAGTCCCTCGCTGATCTTCCACAGGATGATGGCTTCTCCATGATTGAAGACATGGCCTTGGTCTTTCAGCAGGGGGTTCAGGCAATGTGGGATTAAGTGTCTTGCCCAGGGACACAACGACATCAGTGGGAGCAGATGACATGGGTTGTGGTGGATTACGAACCCAACGACCATTAGGTAAATAAACTAACCAGCACGTCGATTAATTCCATTCAAATACAATATAATTTAAATGCCTTCATATTT